GAAAACAACAGAATGCAATTCAACAAGGAGAAGTGCAAAGTGCTGCACCTAGGGAGGAAAAATGTCCAGCATACCTACTGCCTAGGAAATGACCTGCTTGGAGGCACGGAGGCAGAGAGGGATCTTGGAGTCCTAGTGGACTCCAAGATGAACATGAGTCGTCAGTGTGACGAAGTCATCAGAAAAGCTAATGGCACTTTATCGTGCATCAGCAGATGCATGACGAACAGAACCAAGGAGGTGATACTTCCCCTCTATCGGGAGCTGGTCAGACCGCAGTTGGAATACTGCATGCAATTTTGGGCGCCACACTTCAAGAGGGATGTGGATAACCTGGAGAGGGTCCAGAGAAGGGCCACTCGTATGGTTAAGGGCTTGCAGGCCAAGCCCTATGCGGAGAAACTAGGGCACCTGGACCTCTTCAGCCTCCGCAAGAGAAGGTTGAGAGGCGACCTTGTGGCTGCCTATAAGTTCATCACGGGGGCACAGAAGGGAATTGGTGAGGCTTTACTCACCAAGGTGCCCCTGGGGGTTACAAGAAATAATGGCCATAAGCTAGCAGAGAGCAGATTTAGACTGGACATTAGGAAGAACTTCTTCACAGTTCGAGTGGCCAAGGTCTGGAATGGGCTCCCAAGGGCGGTGGTGCTCTCCCCTACCCTGGGGGTCTTCAAGAGGAAGTTAGATAGGCATCTAGCTGGGGGTCACCTAAACCCAGCACTCTTTCTTGCCTATGCAGGGGGTCGGACTCGATAATCTATTGAGATCCCTTCCGACCCTAACATCTATGAATCTATGAATATATTACAGGGGTCACCTGCATGCAATACCAGCTATGCTTTAAGTACTATAAACAATTCAAGGTTGTTGAACCATATTTATAAAGGTATTTTAGGTGCCCGATGATGTTGATACATGTCTAATGGGATTTACAAATGCACCTACGCAGATTAAATACCCCAGTTCCACTGATGTCAATGAGATTAATGCGCCTAACTGCCTGAGTAGGTGCAGCTGTAGATCTAAATAGGCACTTATCTGTATTCTCAGGTGCTTCTTGCCTCATCTCTGCTTATTCAACTAGCTAGGCACAAAACGTTTCCTGTTAAATCTGAAAATGACAAGAGTGTATAGCAAAGGATATCTAAAAGGAGAAACCATAGAAATTCAAGCTAAACCCATAACATGGTCATTATCACTAAATAACTATTTGATCTATGCTTTTCTCACAGGAAGCAGTATTTTTGCCTTAACATCTCTTAACAGAAGGACTCCTAAAATAAAGGCAGCCTACAAAATACAATCTTGTTTAGTAGAGTCAAGGGGACAGACACCATATTCTACCTGGGACAAACATACACCTTATATTCTTGTATTTGGCACGTGGATACTGGTGATTGGTGTACGTGATACAAAAATGTAGAAAAGGGTAGGACAAGTTACAATTATATGTTAGTTACCTGGTCTCCTTAAATTGAGCTAATAGCTGGTAACTTGGATGCTATGCTGCATGGAAACAAAAAATCATCTCTCTGAAGTATATTTACCTGCACTATATATGAGAATATACAGATGCACATCCAGTATTTGTAACCACAAAACCTAATAATTTTTCAATGTTATATTTATGAATTTCAATACTAATTTTTTAAAAATCCATTTTACTCTATCAGAAACCTGTGTTCAAGCTGCAGATTGAATTATCTAATACTTCATTAACATCCGCAGTATTCATATTATGCACTTCTTGGACTCGTTGTTATAAACAGAGCCTGGAATAGCCGTGTACTGTCAGTTCCGGTATTTGTTTAGCGCCATTTCAGAGGAAAAATTAATTCTGCCTTTCATCCTACTATGTTGCAACAGTAGAAAAAAAATACAGTCTGGAGACTTGATCCCCCCAAAAGGACAATACCCTCCTCTTCTATCCATGTAGTAAAAATGTTTGATGACTACCACCAGGGCTTTCATAGAGCAACTTTCATCACTTGCTAGCAAAGCATTTTACAAACAAGGTAAAACATCATCCTACTAAATTTTCTGTATAACTGCAAAAAAGGAAAATAGTAGCAAAATCCAACAGAAGTTGAAGTTGCTGGGAGATATTTTTATTCCCCCAAAGGAACTTATGCAACAAAGGGAAAAAGAATGGTTTCAGCATTTCCTGAAGAACATGCATCTTAAAAAAATAATAATTTTCTTGTCACACTGGAAATAGGGATGTAAAAGATTATAATGGTTACTTAGGACATTTTTATATGGATTAGCATTTAGCTAACAGCTAACAGAGTCTATAGGTATGTTATTTGAAACTATTTATGCAGATGGTAATATTTATTACTTGCATACTCTTATTTCTTCAGTTTAAGACTTCAAATATTCAAAGCAAACAGAAAAAAAAAAAGACCACAATTCTCCAGTTTCCAGCCTTCCTGTTGTCTTTAGAGATCAATGGCTGGGATATGTCTATTAGATCTGAAACAATGTTTCCTACGCAATTCTCTAAGTCAGTGGCTCCCAACCTTTTTTATACTGTGGACTGGCATGGGAGTGGGACAGGACACATGGAGCTGGCTGCCTCTCTCCCGGAGCTGCCCTGCTGCCCAGCTTTAACGCTGGATGTGACTGCCGGCAGCAGAAGCCTTTCATCCAGGTGGACAGATGGCGGTCCAAGCAGAGGCTCATGCCATGACCCTGCAGTCAACCCTTCGTGGCTGTCATAGTATGTGGTCTTAGTGTGGACAAGGTTATGACCCGCAGCTCTGAAGGATATAGTCACCCAGATCCTAGTCAACATTCCCCAGAGAAAGACACCTGAAGAACTAAGTATTTAAAACCTGTGCATGAAATCTAGATTCATCACCGTTTATACGCAGTACATTATGTTTATGCCCGAGTCATCGGAGAATACTACCAATAACTTCCGAGTAACCCACAAGTGGCATGAACCTAAGTGGGCAAAATATTTCATGTTTTAGACTTCTTTTTTTTAACATTTCTGTAAATGTGTATTTATAATTATAAGCCATGAGGGAAGATAAGCATTCACCAGATTTATGCACTTCTCTGGCTTTGATCCTGGTTTGCATTACATACAAAGTTGCTGCCTAAATATGGAATAAGCTCAGTGTACATCTCTCCTGACATGGCAGAAAACATGAAGATCTGCATCCTAGTTTTGTTTGAGGCATTCCAAACCTTCGGTCTAAAAGGAACATAGCTAGAGTAACAGCGGGCAATGCTCCCAATATGCTATTGTTCACATATAACACAGTAAACAAAGTGAAGTTTTTCTACACATCAGGCCAGGAAGTCATCAACATAAAATAGTAAACATTTGTAAATACAAATGTATTGAAAATTGCCACAGAATAATTAATGTTTGCAATAACTCTGCTGCAACAATTAGCAAATGGGAAGTGTTCAGCTGCATCTACAGTGAGTTATAAAGGGCAGAGAATTTTAAATGTTTCCTTTCAGCTCCAGACTTGTTACAAGGACCTACTCCAGTCAAACCACTGTAAACAAATTCCTAGTTATTTAGGCTGGCATTAATTTAGCTAACCCCAGATCTTTAAACCTAACAACCACCTCTCTCAGACCTTGACAATAAAAATTCCAAGAGCAAGAATAATTCAGGTACAATGCTTCAGAGAGAAGGCAGGGTAGATATGCACTTCATAGACTAAATAAGATACATCAACACCACAAATTTTGCATTCTAAAAACCATTTAACAACTACCTTAAAAATGAAAAAAAAATATTTAGACTACAGTAAGCTATAACTGTACAGTTAAATTCTAGAAGAGATCATTCCTTGATAGCATTCTTGCTTGTGCTGCATACTTCCATGAAAAAACACTCGAACACAGAATCTGAATTCTGTCAGTAGAAGAGCTTTGTCATTTGACATGCCACCGTTGACCATATTTGGCAATGAAGAGAAGCCTGGAGTCTTCTCTAGAGATTTTGACCTGGGCACATTTATACCTACTATGGGATCACTTAAATAATCTTTGGTAGATGCAAGCTATGCAAGTTCTGCAAATATTTGATTTTCAGATTAAAAACAAAACAATAAGCATTTCAGTGTTCAGATGTGTGGTTATACAAAATTTAAAATAATTTTAATCTGCTAATTTTAAAATATTAAACCAATATTTATAATATTCATATAACAGTTTTCAAATATCTGAAGGGTGGTTATAAAGAGGCCAGAGATCGACTAATCTGTGGCCAGAGGACAGGACAAGGAGCAGAAGTCTTAAACTGCACCAAGGTATATTTACATTGGATATTAGAATCAACTTTCTCACTACAAGGGGGGGTTGAGCACTGGAACAACCTGAGAGGTTGTGGAGTCTCCATCATTGGAATTTAAGAGGTGGTTAGCCAAACACTTGGCTGGAATGGTTTAGACAAGGATGGTTCTGTCTTGAGCAGGGGACTGGACTAGATAACTGCCTTCCACCCTATTTTTAGATGATTCTATGATAATATCTTAAAGCATTTGCTGATTCTGATTCTTCAGAAATGAAAACTGAAGTCTGGCAAACTACAATCTGTTAGTTCAATCTGAAGTACTGTTTGTTTGTTTTTTTAAATAAAAAAGTATAGATAAGCTCTTCAATGCTTACCTGGTGAGGCGTTTAGGTTGTGGTCGCTCACCAAATTTCCTGCAAAAAACAAGAAGGTTGTAATTTAAAATAAACCATTCACCAATTGAATTTTACAGTGCAATACCACTACATTTTTAATATTTCAAGGCAAACATTCATGTAATTAGATACTGCTCTAAGTTCATTTTTAAGAACACAAAAAGGGCCACCCTGGGTCAGACCAATGGTCCATCTAGTCCAGTAGCCAGACCAAGGAGCTGCTGGCTGGAGGGAACCCAGATGACTACAAGATTATCTTCCTTTCCCTTGTCCATGCAAGTCTAAGTGGAGTTTCAATGGGTGGTGCTCACTGGCTCTTTAAACACATTCAAGGGGCAGTAGTGGGCACCAGCTGGAGTTCTCTGCTCAGTGGCCTTCCTTAGCACTCTAGTTATTAACCTGTAACATGCACTCCTACTCCTGTTTTTTCATATTTTGTCCCACACAACCCATTATTATACATTTAGTGACCTCCCTCTGGCCACTAAGGGGAGTTTGTAGTTCCCTCTAGGTGAGCCTAGGCCTACAGTCATCATACAGCAAATAGGCCTGTCTGACATGAACAAGTAACAGATGCTTTAGAACAGGGGTTTTCAACCTTTTTGCATCAGTGTACGCCTGGCAGCCAGATTGGGGGTGGGGTGGGGGTGGAGGGGAGTGGTATAGCGCGTGGTTGGCAGCAGCAGCCGCCATATGCGATCTTCCCCCACCCCCCTGTGTCTGGCTGGGCAGGCAGCACCTGTGCAGCAGTGCGGGATGGTGCGTGGCAGCACTCTGTCCCTGCCCACCAGCATGTGCTATACCCCCTAGGGCCTTCTCAAGTACCCCCAGTTGACACCCCTGCTTTAGAGCAGGAGTGGCTAACCCACAGCACGTGTGCCACAAGAGGCATAGGGAGACGCTGTGTAGCACACAAGCTCCAGGCACTCAGTAAAGAGATGCCAGAATGAAAGCAGGGGCTTGAGCCTTTAAGTATATGAAGCAGACTGGTGGCAGGAAACTGCTGCAAGAAGAGGTATCAGGTATCACCCTAAGAACCAATTTAAGCCTTCCCTTGCTCTGCATCTACTCCCAAATTCAGGGCTTTGGATACTCCCTCATAATATTAAAAACTGCAGCCGTTCTGGGCCCAGGGAAGGATTAACCAAGCTCTTAGCTGTGACACCTCTTTCATAGCAGCATCTTGCCCCTGCTCCTCTCCTCATGGCTGGAGGTTCAAGCCCCCCTTGCCTCCATTCTGGTGCCCAGGGCACCAACTCTAACACGTACATCTCTAACCAGGACCTGAGTGGTACTTAGGGAAAAGATAGAGGCTTAAACTTGTAACACACACCTGTCAAAAAGGCTGGCTACTGCTGCTTTAGAGGGAAAGTATATGAACAGGGCATTCCTAGAATGATCTATCCCATGTCACACCCTCCTGGAAATTAATCAGTTTAGGGACATCAGAGGATACCTCCCTGGACTGTTCTATTTAGGAGCTGCCAGTTGACCCATCCTCTGTAAATTTCTCCATAGTCTCTTTTTGACCATGGTTATACCATCTGCCTGCATAACCTTTGGTGGCAGTAAGTTCCTTAAGTTAGCTAAGTGCTGAGTTAAAAAAAAACACTTCCTCTGTTTGTTTTAAACCTGCTTCCTGATAGTTTCCAGGGGTAACCCTAATTCTCATATTCTGGGACTTGGTTCCCTATTCACTTTTATCCATGCCCTTCATTGTTTTACAGACCTCTACCACATCCCTGCTCAGCTTTCTCCCTTGCAAACTGAAGAGTCTTTCTCTTCTTAGTCTATTATGATATGGCAGCTGCTCCAGACCCCTGTTCATCTTTATTGCCCTTCTCTGTACCTTATCTAACTCTACCACATCCTTTTCAAGATATGGAGACCAGTACTTCATGCAGTATTTAAGATGTGGGCACATGTAATTTCCTAGACCTTTTTTCTTGAAAAGAAAACTAAGTAGCATAAGCGCACAAAATAGCAAGAGACTCTTTTTATGACCAATTGGAAGCACCAAGAATGAATGCCCACTATTAAATGAAAAACTTTATTAGTAATATTCCTTCTCTGATCTGAGTTGGCAAGCCCAATGCGCAAGGAATACTCACCATCAGCATCATTCTTCTCAGAAATCCACCCCCCAGACCATACACATATGACTTCCAACATTTGGAGAGACAAAATCTGCTACTCATGCTGACCAAGAAAACTAAGAAAATGAAATGAGGCTCAAGTAATGTGCAGGTAGAGAAACTGATCCAAAAATATGTCATAATATAGTACATTAATGTAAATGTACTGATTAATTGCTTTTGGACAGCTTTATCTCCTCTAGTCCTTCAGCACTATGGTATATGACCTCGTTTTTTTTGGCTAGATCTTCCTATGAATGCTTGAGTATGCAAGAAATATGTACATGTATATAACTGTCAGATAGAAAACCCTATAAAAGAAAGGTAAGAAACTGCTCCCATACTCTGACAACACACACATGCTCCTATGATCAACCTGTTGGAGCTAAAATGAAGACAATCAAGAATCATGTGGTACCTAACATCTACCAGCGTTGTCTCAACATGTTTCTACCTAAAAATAAATTAAATGAAAGAAAAAGTCAATTGGCAAATGCACATGTTACCATTATAAATAAACCTACTTAAAACTAACAGCCTTTCAGTGCCATATAATGAAAATTAGCTACATCTTTCCCTTCATGTTTCCTGAATAATGAACATTTGTAATTCCCTTGTGCAAAGCAGGAAT